GCTCTTTGGTATAGGTCCGTCATCGTTATTGATAATATTATTGTGTTTACTTATTTCCAAACTCTCAAAGGCATCTAGTTGCCTGTTGTTGTTAATTTGTCTAACTAATCTTAATGAACTGAAGTCTATGGAATAATGATGATGAAAGAAGTAGTAGTGAAGAAGTGTCGGATGATGATGATAATTGATGTACAAAATAATGTAGATTACACAACAATTAATAAAATATATTGCATCTATAATTTATAATTTTATGTAATGTCACTCACACTATATGCATTTACGTTACGCCTCTTAGTCGCACGCCCTTAGCATCTTTCCCCTCGCCTGTCAAGGTCTTATGCTGTTGAGAACCGCCTGTCATTGTACACATTTACTTTAAATGACTTACTCAAACACATACTCCAATTTCCAACTTTACAGAAGAAAGTTTATTTTACCTCCTACACTATGCACTTTTCGATTCACCTGGTAGGTACTTTTGCTTACTCAAATCGCCTGTCAATTTTTTTCCATAATTATCAAGAAATGAACTAAATGATTTTAATTTTGAAACTTACAGAAGTAAGTTTTTTTATCTTATTTATTTGACATTTTAAAAAAATAAAAGGGCTGATGACGTGCATGGCAGATGCCTGCCAGGTCATGGGTGTTGGCCTTGGCGTGCTATGACTCATCACTGTACAAATTTCTAGCCTTACAGGAAGAACGTTAGTCGTAGGGTTCACTAGCTCTCCTACCATGTAGAATTATAATAAAACCAAAGAATAATCTGACTGGCAGACTCTTTCGAATGAAACTGACGCGAAAGTGAAATGCTTAAAACAAGTGTGAATAAGCAAACCTCACCATTGAAATTGACCAGAAAGGTACAAGTTGTTCCCACACGTCTGCGAATCGCCCATACAAAAATGACACTCCTATACTTGCTATTGGGAGGACAATAACATCTATATATTACATGACAATCAGTACTAATAGTACAACATACATTTGTTGAATGTCCAGTTATGTTATGTTGTCCAGGAAACAACATAACATAACTGGGGCAATAAAAGAAATTCTATGTAATGATAGACGAGCGTTGAGCGACCTGATGGCATTTTTTTAAAAGTCGCAGATATAATAGATGGCTAATAAGCTATCAGTTGATGCCACAAAAAAATCTTTATTCACCATACAAAGTACAATAAAAACAGGCAAAAAGAAGAAAAAGAAAACAATTTTCAGTATGAAGGCGAATAGGCGGAGTATCAACCAAGGATGTTTTTCAACTCAACCTGGGAATAACAAGAATTGAATAAAAATAACAAGAAAAATATTTTTTGTATTGCCAAAGTCGGGAAAGGACACCAGACTAGACAGTTGAGTAAGCCTTCAGTCTTTTTTTGAAATTTTTATTTTTATAAGATGCGTACTTGACTATGTTTGGGTGCATTATACGAGAAGCAGCAGGTGAAGATGAACTATTTGTATTTGGGGATGACTAAAATTATTGAGAATGTTCTAATCTTTTTCAGTAAGTTATTAGGTTGACGAAATATTGAAACTTTATGTACGTTGGTGAGTAGATGCAGTGTTCTAAGTTTCTCAACCACCCTGGTTCTTGCATGGCTGAGAATATGTGGTCATATTTCTACATACCAAACGAGAAACGTAGACAGCTATTCTGAATACGCTGAAGTCGAAAAGCATTCGGTTATCTTGAAGCAGGTCCATATTTACTGCAATAAGAAATTTTTGATATGATCAGTGACTTTCATAGTCTAAGTTTTAAGTTTGTGTTGAACAAATCATGATTTGGAAACAGCTACCTGAGAACGTTATAAGAACCTTTGTTTCGATAACTGTTTAGTGACGCGAAGTTCTGGATCAAAGCACAACACAATTTTTTTATCTCGTACACGGAGGGAGATATTTCATTCTCGATGCGGATTGGAAAAGGGAGTTGAAAAAAAGTTTCCCATTTGATGCGGACTTTATCGGTGACACTGTAGATACCTGAGCAATTTATTTTGTATTTTCTCCACTGCATTGATTGTGGACCGATATTCACCTGACCATATTATACTTGCAAATTCCAATTTAGGTCTTACAAGTGAGTAGTATAATAATTTTATAGTATTGTTATTCTTGAAGTCCCGAGTTTGTCTAATAACGATAAAGTACTGTTGTAAGATACCCCAAGATCTCTAACCTCAGAACATCTGTGGAGGACTTCTTCATCTATCATATAATCAAAATTAACAGGATCCTTCAAACGAGTTATTGTGATGATGTTAATATTAAATTTCAATTCATTTGTAATGCTCCACTCATAAATACTGTCCATATCCCTTTGCAGATTAACACAATCCCTACCTGTTGGAATCTGTTTATATATTTTCAGATCATTGGCAAAAAGCAAACATTCAGAAAATTTGACTATGTCGTGGTACATATTTATTCATGTACATAAATGTATTTTTCCAATTGGATCGTCATGTGTGATGAAAAGTGGATCCTCTATGACAACAGGAGACGTTGAGGATATTGGTTGGACACCGATGAGTCACCCAAGCACTTCCCAAAGGCGAACTCCCAACAAAAAAAGAACATAGTTACTGTATGATGGTCAGCGGCTGGTATCACTGTAACTTTCTCCAACAAAGACGAACTATGATAGCGGAGGAAATCGAAGAAATGTATTTCTACAAAAGAGGTTGGATACTGCTCCATGATAACACCCGTTCGCACGAAAATGAAATGTTCTACTCCAATCACCACACACCTTAGACCTCTCGCCAAATGACAACCATATTTTGTCAATAAAAATATCCACGGACATTCAAGCTGCGTTGGAAGCTCTTGGCCCTACCGACCAACGTCTACATTGGTAGCAAATGGCCAAAAATGGCTCTTTCCAATAGGAACACTCATCAAATTGTCTGTGGGCTACATTTCTGGCCATACTGGCCTGGAAGCTGGAAGGCAATGAGGCTGCTGACTCCCGTGCAAATGATGGTGCTGCAAGCAGCTTCATCGGACCAGAACCTGTCATTGGCATCGCTTTAGGGTTTGCCAAACAATCAGTAAACACCTGGATAGCAAGGAGATGTGTGAACTTCTGGCAGAATCTTCCAGGATTGGCTGACTCCAATGCGTTTATTCACCCTTCGAAGCTTGATACCAAACAGTTGTTGGACTACAGTAGGGATGAACTACGATGTCTAACAGGCCTTCTAACAGGTCACTGTCGTTTTAATCATCACATGCAGAGACTAATATGACGATCTAAGATTACGACTTGTATTACGTTGGCAGAAGTGCTGATTGAAATGGCGTTTATTTCTATCAAATTGAAAAATTATTCAGTGTGATATCACAGTTCAAAAGTAGACTCATTAAAACGGACAAAACATTTGAAACAACCTGATACCTATGCAATATTCGGGGTTATCGTATGAATTTCGATCGAGCTCGTCTGATAGCCTGCCTCTATGAAAAATTGTGAAATTTGATTCTTCCCATCATAATCATGATTTCAATTTAAACATTTCTTGGTGAATATAAATTTTAATTTCGAATGGGTCCAAAATTCTCTAACGGATTTAGCCAAGTTAGCGTAGAAATATGCAACATATGGAAACCCATAGTTGACCGGAAAACGGCCAACTCCCGCCGAGCGGTCGGGTCCCACTAAACCGATGAAGCGGTGAGAGAAAAGAGGGGATAGATGAAAACACTCGAATGACCTATAAATAGACATCTCTCGGAGGGATAAGTCCAGTCATCACCCGAATACGATAATGGATACTAACAATCGAGAGGTCGTGAAGTAATTTGGCTTGAAATATCCTAATTTTAAATTTTCATTTCTTGTTAATTGTTCAATTTTCAATTGTTGCTTGTATTTCATTTCATTGTAATTTCAGTTTTTTTTTGCTTGGTATAATTGTTATTTTCCAGCTAACCTTTTTGATTTTATTGATTCTTTCAGGGATTTCAAATCATTTCAAATGTTTGAAATGTTTTTTCCGTCAACCAACTATCGCTCTTCTACGAAAAACAACCCTCAGAACTCGAAACTAGTGCAAGATAAGGACTAACGTGGTCTTACCTCTCAAAGTGTGATTTCTAACACGGATTGGACAAGCATTCAGCCTGGGGCTTCAACCATCGACTCACACATCGGCCGATTGACTGAGTGAACAAAGCACCCACGTCGAACCGAAATCCCATATTAGACAATGGGATTCCGAACTGATGAAATGCATTATACAAGCTGTTCAACTCTTTCCTATTACTTGAGAACTGTCTCACTTGTACATTTTTTCTGAGTCTTCATCTCATCTGCCTATTGCGTTTTACTCCCATACAACAATCTTGTGCCCTAAAGGCGGGAACAGACTAAGCAAACATTGTTGAGCAACAGTTGATCAACTGTTGAGCAAGAATTGATCAACTGTTGGCAAATAAACGTCGATGATTGTTGGAAAACTTCGGCGAACCTTGTTCCTGAAAAGTTCGTTCAGTCGAGCCAAAATGTGCGACGAAGACGATGCTTTACTCGCATGTTGCACGATTTTATTAATGAAAATTAAAAAATCGCGTAACTGCAGAAGGCGTCGGTGGTGGCAAAGAAGTATATTCGCTAACAAAAAACGGAATTTTTCACCAGAACTAAGAATGGAAGACCAAAAACTTCACTCGAGTTAATGCAACCACATTTGAAAGTCTCATCGTTATGATTGGACCTAAAATTGCAAAAAAAATACAAACTTTCGGGAAGCCATATGCGTGAAAACAAGATTAATGATAACTTTAAGGTTTTTAGCCGCTGGGGATTCTTATGTCATTTTAATGTATCTATTTCAAATTTCTAAACAGCTAATTGGTACTATAGTTCCTAAACTTGCGAAGCCCTTATAGAAGCATTGGCAGATCGTATTCAGGTAAGAAAATGAAACAATTCATTTTCTCCTTATTTAATCAAATAAAAAATATGAGAACGTAACATAGTTTTTATGAAATATCCGTAGAGTTATCTGTTTTGGATCTAAGTAGGGCGTGAATAAAGGCATCTTCATTTGGAATATCTTGATCAGAAGGATGTTGCATGCTTGTTGATGTTTAAGGAGATGGAATGCTATGTTCATTTGGAATATCTTGATCAGAAAGATGTTGAATGCTTGTTGATGTATAAGGAGATGGAGCTGATGCGTAAGAGCGCGAACTTGAAACAGGTGATACAGTTCGTAGTGACAAATTCGTTGTAATTGGAGTAAACTGCCGTTGTGAATAATAAAGTATTCGCATATCAGCATCATGGAGAACGCAATTGATTCTGTTCTACATCAGCTTGAAGAAATGCATCGTACCTTCTTAATTTATTTGCCACGTATTCCCCAAATATGTCAAAGTTATCCCTTACTTTTCGATTTTCTGTGGTGTTTTTATTGATTCAAAAGCTCCATTCATTTGAGGATCAGACATATTTGGGCGTTTTCCCGAGGTTTCTTTTCCTGCTGAGACTAACTGCCTTACGGTATCTCGTTGGAACGGTTCTGATTCTATTCCAATATCATGAGGATCCGAAGAGTTCAACTCCTTTCCAGAACGTTTCTTTGTTATTGTTTCCAACTGCTTGACTGTGTCATGAGATGTTCCTGCATGCTGTAATTGAAAAGTGCTTGAGAAACCTTCAGTGAGGATGGTTTCTGATGAATCCTCGTATTGCGTGTTTTCCAAGTCCTGAAACAAAGTATACATGCCTATAGTATACTGAAAATATGCAGAGTACAGATTTTGATGTTGGGAGTTAAAAAGGAATTTGATGAACAAGTGTGGTCTCAGTTTGATATCCTTTTTTTAAATAATTTTTTTTTCAGTTACCAGATTAACCTGAAGAGTGCCTCAAAATATCTGATGACTATGTTATGGAATTTTCCTCGATGCTTAGGAGCCATTGACGGTGAACACGTCGTATTACAATGCTCCTTCAGAAGTGGAAGCGGGTATTATAATTAAGGACACTTTCAGTATTGTCCTTATGGCAGTAGTGGATGCAAAGTATCGATTTTTATACGTAAATGTGGGTTGTCAAGGCCATTTCCCGGCAAACATGCGAAGGGTACGTTTCAACGTTCATTTATTTACAGATTATCGCGAGCAAGACGAGTCGTGGAAAACGCTTTCGGCGTTATGTCGTCGGTATTTCGAGTTTTGCGAAAGCCTTTGCTTTTGCAACCTACTACTGCTGAAATAATTGTTTTTACATGTTGCTACTTACATAATTTTTTACAAAATACTAAAACAATCAAGGACTATTATGCTCCCCCTGGAACGTATGACAATGAAGATGTTTCAACGGGCATTTTGGTTCATGGATCTTGGCGAGACGAACCAGAACCTTCATGTACATTCAAGAATTTAAATTGAGTTGGAAGAAAATCAACCAGAGTAGCACAGGAGGTTAGAGAAAAATTTGCACATTATTTTTCAGGTCATGGAAGACTGCCTTGGAAAGACAGAATGGAATAAAATAATACGTGTCATTATAAAGAAATAAAAAAGTTCACTTACATGTTCTTGACTATCTCTTGTATGTTTTGGTGTATTATTGTCTTTTAAAAACATTAAATGCTTATATCCAAACCAACGAGACACGTATAATTCATTTCTTCCCTGGCCAGATTTTGTGACACATTTTGCATATTCCTGTCTGAACTAGGTTTGCAGAACTTTCCTTTTCCTCTCAATTTCTTCTCGGGATAGTTTTAGAACGGTCGCTATAATATTAAATGCGCCAGTTCGTTTAGTTTTGTTTTTATAAGCTTCATTTTCGGGATTCCATATATTTGAATGTTCCCTTATAAGTTCTATCAAATTCAGAACTCGATCTTCTGACCAATCGTGCGACATTTTCAAATAAAATGAACGTTACTCTGTCATTGTACCGCTCTTGAATGCCTAAATTAAACTGAACGCATATTGACAACAGTGTTGCCAACTGGTAGAACTATAAAGTCGCCTCACATGAACCAAAATTCCGCTACACTGCTTCATATTCCGCTATGCTTGTATATCTGATGCAATCAGTTCGCGCATGTGCCCTATATAAAATTAAATACCACAGAACTTACAGTCTGTAGGTTGTGTACCGTTCAGATACTACAAAACTGAACTGTTACTAATGTCAGGAATCAGGATCATGCTAATTTTCAATACCGCCTCAGGAGCGAACATCATGCAACAGTTTGCCAACAGTTGCGCAACTGTTGAGCAACACGTATGAATTGAGCGAACTCACGAGTTGATCAACTGTTGCTCAACAATATTTGCTTAGTCTGTTCCCGCCTTAAATAGTTTTCTTTTTGTTTGTTTTAGGTTTTGTCGTCAGAATTTTGTCAATTGAATGATGAGACATCTCTTGTCATTTGGATCTTTTTATGCAATGATGATAATGAAAATAATACGAGTACATGTGGGGTGGGCAATGCATTCCTTGCAGATGGACACCTCTATAGCTGGTCGATGCACTCAACGACTAGCGTACACATAGCAGAATTATGCGCTTCATACCAATCTTTACTATCCTGTGAATTTGCTCGAAACGAAATTCAGCTCCTAATTTGTACCGACTCGTCGAGTTCCATAAGATCGTTTCGAAATAAATTTACTTTCCACCCCCTTATAAGGATTATTCTTGCCAGAATTCATATTATGAAGGAAAGCCGTGGAACTGTCAGCTTCTTGTAAGTGTCTAGGCAGCTAGAATGGTTGCTAACTCCAACGAACATGAAGATATACCACTCCACCTAGAAGATCAGTTAGTCCAAGAGCTAGTGAACCCTCCGACTAACGGTCTTCCTGTAAGACAAGAAATGTGTACAGTGATGAGTCATAGCACGCCAAGGCCAACACCCATGACCTGGCAGGCATCTGCCATGCACGTTATCAGCCTTTTTATTTTACTTACTTCTGTGAGTTTCAAAATTTGATATCATTTAGTTTATTTCTTGATAATTTTGAAAAAAAATTGACAGGCGATTAGAGTAAGCAAAAGTACCTACCAGGTGAATCGGAAGGTGCACAGTTCAGGAGGTAAGTAATTCAAAATGAATGTGTAAAATGACAGGCGGTTCTGAACAGCATAAGACCTTGACAGGCGAGGGGAAAGATGCTAAAGGGTGCGAGTAAGAGGCGTAACGAAAATGCATATAATGTGAGTGAGACCGTTTATCTAATGGGTAGGGTCGTATACCTGCTCTGTTCAAGAATTTCAAGACAAGAATTTGTCAGTTGTGGCAACGTTTTTTATGTGTGCAGACGTATTATGCAGGGTGTAACTAAATAAGTGTAAAACATTTAAGCAGGTGATTCCTCACGTAGCACGTCAGTATCCAACTGAAACAAATGCAAATCAGTGGATAGGTCGAGAAGGAACCACAGAACTGGCCCGCTCGATCCCCGGATCTCAATTCTCTCCATTTCTCCATTAGGGGCCATTTACAGCATTTGGTTTATCGCGAACTCCTGTTCGCGATGTAGAGGACTTAAGAAACCGCATCATCGATGCGTGCAGGGTAATCAGAGAGACTCCAGGAATATTTGAGCGAATACGTGGCTCAATGCGCCGACGTCTAGACGCATGCGTAATGTCTGAAGGTAGACATATATGGAAACTGGTAGGTACATAATCTCATGTAATTTAATTCATTAGAAACTTAGGTAAAAATCATGTACTTGAAATGTAGGTATATTGAAATTGTATATTCAGCTTTGAATATGTAGAATTATTTTGTAAAGATACGCCCGAAGAAGCCATTGTATGGCGAAACACGTGTTGCGTTTTTGAAAAAGTTCGAAAAATCATGGGTTTCCATTGAATAAAAATGTGTATCGTTATGGATTATGGGCATGTAAGTGTATTATTACAGTAGCGGTGTGGAAAAAAATATTTCATATAATATGCCTATAAATTACTGACTTCCTGGTGTAACATGTGAAACAATTGATGGGGAAAACCAGACGTTATTAGACAAGAAAATCAGAAGAACGATAAAACAATGTTTTCTCCTAAACTAGGTTCGTATAGCCTGTTCAGTTAGGATAGAATCATGGCTACTAATCATGACCATAGATAGTTCCATCGGAGTTTAGATGATGATAAACTTACACAAAACAACAGATGTTGACACGTGACAATTGCTGTCCATCGTTCAAATCGTGGCCTTTCCAATACGTTCTAAACCATAGAAAACCACACGAGAGCTGACGCCCAGTTCTCGTCCTGGATTAGTATAGGTCGACCACGTCGCCACGAAATTTTGCGAACAGTGAAATCGTTAATACTATTATTGTCAAATGCCTGGTAAATTTTTTGGGCTATTTTGTCAGCACTTCGATTCAATTTGAAGAAAAATTGTTCGAAAATTGTAATGAGTTGAAGAGAGGCATGAAAAAATGAACAGCATCGATGTAAAGAATATTACTGGAGTTTTATCCCGACACCAAACCATTATTTCAATACCTCGACACGTGTTTGGATCACTAAGTGATCATCTTTAAGAGTTTAGTCTTCCTCTTGAAGATGATCACTTGGTTATCGAAACACGTGGCGAGTTACTTCTGATGAAGTGTTATTGAAGTGTTTATTTCTATATCTATCTACTGTGGGGTGTGAATAAAATTGTTAGGATTATATTTTGAAAATTTTAAATTGGTTAATAACTTATTGTGAAAAACATCGTTTGAAAATATTTTTACGCAATGACGTCGAATTTCTCTGAAAGATATGATTTTATTTAATAATCCTGACTTCATTAATTTATTCATATTCGTGTTAATAATAACTTGTTGAAAATTATAATATTTTTTCATAAAATGTATACAGATATAAAAAATTAAACCAATATTTTAAACTGGCTGAATTCATACAAAAGCGGGCTCATCGCAATAGTAAAAGAATGTCATAAATTCAAAAAAGTTGAACTTGAATGAATTCGGTGTTAACGATGGCGACGAAATGATTGAAAAATATCTAAT